TAGAGTTTTGGTCAGTGTCTCACAGACTCAAAAATGCTGCTTTGCATGCTCTGGATGCACTTTAATTTCGATTTTGTCTGAATGAATTTGAATATTTTAATTATTTTGCAATAATATCGTCAATTATGAAGCTGAGCTGACTAGAAAAATTTTAGAAAATGCTCCAGTTTTTCAAAATCAAATTTCAGTCAGTGTCGGATTTTGTTCAGAAAGACATTCCCTGATGCACTCACCTGTAGTCTGGCTGTGTCTTTGTGTCATCCTGATAACTAAAATGTTCACTTTAAATTTTGGCTGCAATTTCAACATTTGTCTGCAACTCATATACTGAACGTTTATGATCTGTTAACCGTGTTCTGGATATCTGAGCTATATCCAGCTCAAATGGCTTTTGCAGAGGCCGAGCCGCAGGAATATTTTACCGCTTTTGCACGCGACATCGTTAATGCTGAAAGCTTGTGGTTTCTGATGTTTCAATAGTTAGTTATCAAGTTCAGAGAGGCTTGGTTGCAAGTTTTAAGATTTGTTCAATTAATGAGGTCATTTCTGGTGCTTGTGACATTCTGATGCACAAGCACCAAGAAATGACCTCGAAAACCCATATAAGTGGCGTAGTAATTAGTACTGCAAAAAGTACTAAATATTCTAAAAATCATTTGAACATTTTCTAAAAGCCATTTGAATGTTATAATCAAGATATCAAATTTTGTTAACAGATCCTTACAGTACATTCAGGAGAGCAATTTATACTGAAATTTTGAACAAACCATTTTTGGCCGAAATGAAGAACATTGTAAGTTCTTAGCCCTTTAAAGGATTTTGGCCAAAAATACATTTTCTCTCTGAACTAAAATTTAATGTGCCTAACTATTTAAGTACATCCAGAATAATACACAAGCACCAAGAAATGACCTCGAAAACCCATAAGTGGCGAGTAATTAGCATTGGAAAAGTAATTAAAATATTCTAAAAATCATTTGAACATTTTCTAAAAGCCATTTGAACAAGTTATAATCAAGATATCAAATTTTGGTTAACAGATCCTTAAGCAGCAACATCTAGAAAGCAATTTATATCGAAATTTTTGAACAAAAATCCATTTTTTGGCCGAATGAAGAAAATTGTAAGTCTATAGCCTTAGCAGATTTTTTGACCAAAAAAACACGTTTTCTCTGAACTAAAATTTAATGCCTAACTATTTAAGTACATCCAGAATAATACTATAAGCAACGCCAAGAAATGACCTCGAAAACCCATAAGTGGCGAGTACTTAGCATTTTCAAGTAAAAG